AGTATATTTGGGCAAAAATGGCCGCTCCCAGACTCAGTGATCACAACGAAAATAATTTTTATTTTTTACTGATTATCGCTAAATTGATTAAATCACTACAAACGTATTAGTTTTAGGTATAAATAATGATCCATATTTTATTCTTTGCTGACGGACTTTTCCTTTAAAAAATCTAAATCAAGTCATTAAAAGGTTCCATTTATAATGTCATTTTCAAACAATAAAGCTTATACTGTGCTGCTGCCATTTTGATCATTAATACCAATAAAGATCTCAATTAATAAAGGTTCTCTTTTTTTTAACTAAAGACAAAAGTAAACTAGAGAATGTAGAGCTTTATTGCATAGAATGTGTCCATATAAAACTACGACCAGGCAGCTTGTTTGTCTGACTGGTTGCTGATATTTTAACCAGTTTCTGTCCGTAGTTCTGGTAAACATCCATGTTTTTTCGTCTTTACGCCTCTTATTGCTCCTCCTGATGGTTTTATACCCGCTGCAGCGGTTCTACGCTCCAACATCACATATTTACATTTCACAAATTTTATGTCCAGTATGGTGATAGATGGATAATAATGTCAAAAATAAATCAATTAGGATTGTTTTCTGTTTTATTGGTTTTCAAAGATGTACTGAGGTTAACAGAGCAGGAGCAGATATTAATTATCTATACCAGTTGTAGTACTTTGTTTTTATTTCAGTTAATACATGTTGCATCTTAACTATTTTACATCACATGAAGGAAGTCTTGTTTATAAAATTCTGGGATTTTGTGTAGTTAGAGCTGATCTCTGACTGTCAGATCTGTCAAAAGTGTTTCTGTTAAAATAAGTTAAAACACAGACTGGTGTAAAAAAAAAAAAAGATTTTTTTAAGTAAAAGTAACAATTTCAATCATGAAGTTTAAGTACAAAGTAGAGGTTTAACTTTGTACTTTAACATTAAAAAATACAATGTTTTTTTTTGCCTCAAATGCTTCAAAGAATGTTAGAAAACTTTATTTAAAAAAGGAAAATCAGCTCCATGCACAGAAAATGTCACTTTGCTTCTTTTCTCACTGTTGGACAGCATAAAGCATTAAAACTGCAAATAGAACCTGAAGGATCATCAACATTTAATATCTTAAACGTGCTCCATCCAATGCAGATCATTGGCTCCACCCACATCTAGTGAA